GGGAAAGAGCAATTATAATCTATGCTAGAAGACCATGAACTCTAATGCTTCTTTTTCTGGTGCAGGGATAAGGAGATAAAAACATCTTGTCTGACAATAACAAAAAAAAATGTGGGGCTCGATAAATGCCCTATTCACCTGGAGCTAATGTGTTACGAATGTCTGCACTTGCGCTGGCAGCACTGCAGGAAACAGGTCTCTAACCTGCACAGTTCAGCCTCCCTCGCTCCCATTTCTGTACTGGTTACAAGACTGATGTGACAGAATTAAGAGAAGTCTGTGTTGTTTCCGCTCTGCTGATGCTTTAAAGATAGTTGGCCTCATATACCGTATCTTCCATCTATGATTCCTTGTATTACATGTAATGAAACCTAAATAATCCAGAGAATAAGGAAACAGTTTCATCTTCGCTCAGAATTGCTGTTCAAGCTAGTAGGAGATCCAGACTTTCATCACGACTTCTGACATTTGTCCTTGCCGTAGAACGTGTCCCCCTTTCAATGCCATATGATGTTTTATAATAGAGGAATAAAAAAAATGTTTTAGCAGGACTGTTCTACATTAAAAAGAAGCATTTATTTTTATTGATATCAGCTCAGTGAAGGCTTGACCCTGGGCCCACAATGGGAGTTTTACCCTTGACTTTAATGGAAGAACAATCAAGGTCTTGTGATATTACATCCTCCAGAAAGGAAAATCATGAAGAAAGATAAATGCTTCATAGTTAGTGTAAGCCACTATATTCTTGCAATAAATGGTTTATTAGATTGATTAAATGCCTCAGCTTCACTTCAGCTATTAATCAGTTTTGGCAGCTGTTTATTGCTTTGTATACTTCACAGCAATCCCCTAATTATATCATTGCAGCCCATTCATTGTTTCCTAAATAGTGCCATTACGATGGTAAATTGCAATAGTAAAGCAGTGTCAATAGAGAGTTATGGAGTTCCCATTTTATGATGTGTTCATGAAGTTAGCACAATCTACTTGAAACATAACTGTGATTTCAGCACGGTGACCTATTTGATACGGCATAAGGATTTTGATGACAAAACAGTGTAGCACAAGTGTGTTAGGGCTCTGCTTTCACCAGAGCAGAATATAACAGACTCCCTTTTGAAACTTATGTGTGTTTAAGAATCAGAACTTGTTAAACTGGTACTTATTCTATCCATTCCAGTTTTGCCAAGTGTGATGAGTTCCAGAGATTTTGTTTCTTTGAATACGTTTTGTTTATTTTTTTATATAGAGACAAAAATACATACAAAAACACCCAAGACATTGTCATTTAGGGTATACTGTTGTCCTGACACAGAAAGATTTTAAAAGTACCCAAATCAATCATAAGAAAGTGACTGCTTTTATTATCATCCTATCTGGCAGTAATCCATAAAGCATTTCATTGTTGCATAACAATTTCTATTCTAAATACCTTTTTTTTTTTCAGTCAACTAGAACTATACCTACCTCAGAATTATTGTTGCCCATCTCAGTCTGACTTGTTTTGTGACTTGTTTTGGAGGAATCAGTAGTACCATGAATCCCAGAAAGATCAAAATCATGAAACTCCCAAACTGTGACATAAATTGTTTCCCTCCCTGTTCCTTAATAATGGGGTTTGGGGTAAAAAAAAATGACGTTGCAAATTTTGCATTCTCATTTTGTTTCTTCTCCTTGCGTACTTTACATATGAGTGCAGAAAAGGTATGTCCTTAGCTTGGGTTAAATTAACACTAAACACAAGGTGAATGGACTTTCTTTTACAAGCATTAATAGCTTTTGTTCAACCCAGATTCCCTCTATGCTCTTATTCCAGATACCTTGATTAAGGGACCAGACTAAGATGAGGCCTGATCATGCCTCCCCCATGAGAAGCAATACCTGAAAAGCACTTAACCTAATGCAAGGCAAGTATATAATTAAAAGGCTGGCCTACAGTGTTGGGCTGAATTCAGCTGATGACCTACACACAGAGGCCTCTGCGTGGCTCATCACCTGGTGACCGACAAGTGACATATCCAGTCTTCCCTAGTTGTTAATAATTTGCCTTTGCAAGCGAGTCTGTTTTTTAGGAAAAACTGCATCGTGTGCTGGCCTTTTCAACCCAAACCTCCCGTTCGCTGGGTGTGCCAGTCACATCTGCAGCTGCAGACGTTTGAGTTTAAACAGTCTCCTACTGCCCTAAGGTGACCATTAACATCTTAGAGCTGAGGGTGAGTTGCCACCAGAACTGAGAGGCAGAGAGGTTTTCTGGCAGAGTGGCCTGTAAGGGAGCTCCCACTCAGTCCAAAACAGCTGACTCGAGGTACTGACTTGAATTCTTTCACCTAAGTAATTTGCCCTAAAAGAGATTAGGGCTTAATCCTCTGAATCTTTCAAACTACAAAGGCAATAATCTCAAGCAGAAGGCCAGAAACACCCGTTTAGGAAGCAACAGCAACTTTAAGTAGGGTAATTGCTAGTCCCTCCATGGCTTTAGATGATATCCATGCTATATGAGTATCCATATCCATGCTGCTTTCTGCTGATGGAGCTGTTGGTCAGAGATGAGAGGTGGGAGCTCGATGTCGTTGCGGGACCACAGTGGATACATCACAGCAGCAAGACCTCACTTCTGCACGTACATTTTGCTTCATGTGAACACAACAACGGAACAGGCTAAACATGACTTTGCCCTTAAAAGCTGCATCCCCATTATGAGCACCCTGCTCTTTAGCATCCTGCAGCAGTGCTCCTGCGGATACGCCTGCTGAGCCCTGGTTTCCATTTCAGTTATACTGGTTGTCAGATTGTTTATCTGTGAATAGGTATAGTAACAGCTAATCTCGTGTTATGGTTCCTTGGCTGTTGTAAGTCCTATTCATAGCAACTGTGAAAGGCCGAGGAGTAGATTTTATAGGGCACCGGGGTAAGCAGTTACTGTACATTCCCTTGAGGGAACATCAAACGAAGTAGCTTGTCCTTTCCAGAGCTGGTTGTGATCATTGTAATTCTGACATTCCCTAACTTTAAGGATTTGAAGGATTTGATTTACACTCTTGATACCCTTTCTGTAATGTGATTGATAAGCTATTGATTTACTTTGTGATTTAGACCTGAGACTGCTCTAAAAGATTTCTATGAAGAGGCTTCATAACTCAGTTCTGCCAAGTGCATCAGCTCAGGTGGGTATTTCTTCCCAGTCCTTCAAAGCAATCTGCTGAACTGGCTGGATTTTCCATGGAGGGACAAAGTACGTCTCCATAATTTTGAAACATCTATACATGATGTTTCCATACTTCT